GTATATATGTATATAGATTGATCTCAGTCCGTATATACGTATACAGACCGATCTTGGTCCGTATATATGTATACAGACCGATCTCGGTCCATATACATGTATACGGACCGGGATCGGTCCGTATATAGCCTGAACAGCAGCTTTTTTATTTTTTATTTTTTGTTACATTACATTTGGTGAAATTTAAAATTTTTCATGTATAATATAATTAAACTTTTACATATTTTAAGTCATTATTTTAAGTAATTATTCCAAGTATATTTTATTTTTTTATAAATGCATTTATTTTGAATAGTAAAATATATTTTTGCATTATTTGGTAATATTATGTAATTATTAAATAAAATAAATCTGTTTTTATAATTTTCTATTGGCTTTTTTTCCTCTAAATGATATATACGAACCGATCCCAGTCCGTATATATCTATACGAACCGGGATCAGTCCGTATATGGCCTGAACAGCAGCTTTTTTTTTTTTTTTTCTAGGTTACATTTGGTGAAATTTAAAATTTTTTATGTACAATATAATTAAACTTTTACATATTTTAAGTCATTATTTTAAGTCATTATTCCAAGCATATTTTATTTTTTTATAAATGCATTTATTTTGAATGGTAAAATATATTTTTGCATTATTTGGTAATATTATGTAATTATTAAATAAAATAAATCTGTTTTCATAATTTTTCTATTGTGTTTTTTTCCTCTAAATGATATATACGGACCAATCCCAGTCCGTATATATGTATACGGATCGGGATCGGTCCGTATATTTCCTGAACAGCAGCTTTTTTATTTTTTTTTTCTAGGTTACATGTTGTGAACTTTAAATTTTTTCATGTATATATGTTTATACCTACCAAATAAGTATAATTTTTATTAAATATATATATTCATACTTAATTTAATTTAGCTTTACGAAAAAAAATCCCTCAGAGTGCCTATATTCGAACCGATACCGGTCCGTATATATCTATACGAATAGAGATCGGTTCGTATATGCCCCTGAACAGCAGCTTTTTATTTTTTTTGTTATTTCATGCTTAAGTCATTCTACTCTCATTTTAAACCGTAACCTTCCGAATGTTTACAAGCCAAAATGGTTAACCTAAATAAAAAAAATTAATTTTATTTGCTTATGACTCCGAAAGAGCATTACATAACATTATCTCTAATAACCTTCAACTTATACGTTCATGGTTTTGCAACGATATTACTCCGTACCATCGTAAGATAATTTCAAGTAGACAATAGATGGTTTTGTGGTTCCAAGGGATTGTAGGGTCGATATACATGCAATTGGTTTTCGTAGGAATGGATTAGGACACGAGAAGATGGTAATGTCCTTAAATGAAAAGAATAAAAATGTGCACTGGAAGAAGTTTTTGGATTTTTTCTATTATATTCGAACCAAAATCGGTCTGAAAAATGAAAAGCATGGAAGCTTCTGGATTGTTTGCATATATTCAGACCAAAACCGGTCCGTATATATATTCACACTTAATTTAATTTAGCTCTGGGGTAAAAAATCCCTCGAATTGCCTATATTCGAACCGATACTGGTCTGTATATATGTATACGGACCGGGATCGGTCCGTATATTCCCCTGAATAATACTTTTTATTTTTTTTGTTATTTCATGCTTAAGTCGTTCTACTCTCGTTTTAAACCGTAACATTCGAATGTTTGCAAGCCAAAGTAGTTAACCTTAAGAAAAAAAATGAATTTTATTTGCTTATTACTCCGAAAGAGCATTACGTAACATTATCTCTAATAACCTAAAGCTTATACATTCGTGGTTTTGCGACGATATTATTCAGTACCATTATAAGATAATTTTAGGTAGACAATCGATGCTTTCGTGGTTCTAAGGAATTGTAGGGTCGATGTACATGCAATTAGTTTTCGCAGGAATCGATTGAGGACACGAGAAAATGGTGATGTCCTTAAATGAAAAGAATAAGAATGTGCTCTGTGAATTTTTTCCCAATATTTTCGGACCAAAATCGGTTCGAATATATTAATGTGATCAATTGTGTTGTCAATACATATACAGATCGAAATCGGTCCGTAATTAATTTATGCACCAAATTTTTACCTTGAATTTGAATCTCCATGATTCTGCACTAATTTATTTATATTCAGATCGATTTCGGTCTGAATATTATTAATGCGCCAAAAATTTTTCCGAAAAAATTGAAATTTTTGTTGTGGGGCGCCAATAAGGATTATACGGATCGTTTTCTGTCCGTATAAGCCTTATGGTCCGTAATTAATTTATGCGCCAAATTTTTACCGTAAATTTGAATCTTTATGATTCTACGCTAATTTATTTGTGTTCAGACCGATTTCAGTCTAAATATTATTAATGCGCCAAAATTTTTCTTGAAAAAATTGAAATTTATTGTTGCGGCGAGCCAATAAGGATTATACGGACCGAAAACGGTCCGTATAAGCCTTATATATATCACCACTTCTCTTCCTTTTCCTCATTTTCCTTTCTTCCTCTCTTTCTTTTCCTTTCTTCCTCTCTTTCTTTTCTCTTTTGCCTCCCGTCTCCTTCTTTTTCTTACTGTTTTTTTTCTACTTCTTTTTCTTTGTCATTTCCTCTCTTCTTTTCTCTCTTCCCTTTTCTTTCTCATTTCCTTCTATTTCCTTTTCTTTCCTCTCTTTTTTCTCTCCACTTTTTCATCTTTTCTTTCCTTTTTTTTTTTCTTTTTTCTATTTTCTCATATGTATTTTTTAAAATTTTTTGTTGTCTTTTTGTATTGGTTCATTTTTATTTTTTTTATAATATGTTTATATTTCATTAACTAACTTTTGTTTCTTTTTTTTTTTT